TTGTAGTGGCGGTGGCGGCGGTGTCATCAGACTGTATAGATGCTGTTAGGATGCGTTTGTTATGGTTGTCGATTATCTGTTTCGTGTTGTTCATGCAGCTGTAACTGATTTTGATGGTGTTTCGGTTAAAGATTTTTCTGAGCTTGTGATCTTTGGGAAAGTGCTTGTCTACTAGGGCGAGGAATTTGTGTCCGATGTTGGTGCTGGTATTCTTGCTAAAAGGAGGGTTGTACCAGAGGATGTTATTGCGTTGTCGGTTTTTCCGTTTGCTTGTTTTGGCTGGTTCGTACTTTAGGGTGTAGTGGTATCCACTTTTGTCAAGTGCTTTCTGGTATGGGGGTGCGGCTTGGTCTAAGGATGCTTTGTCAGATGACAGGGAGGACACGAAACAGGCTTGTAGGGATGAACTTGTAGTTTACTTGTCTTTTTCCTCCCACAACATATACTTCGCTCTACTTCTATGTATTGAGCACTGTTCTACGAAAATCAAGTCACACTTTATATATATATATATAAATATTACGAGAGGAAAAAAGGACGTAACTACATTTCCCGACAAGCCTGTTTCGTGAATCGCTTCTCTCTTCAGGGGTTTAATATATATATATATATTTCGCAGTTACTATAGTTTTATATCCTGGACAGAAGACATGTTATTTGGCACGTTTATCGATTATCCTATGATTTCCAGAACATTCTTGATTAGTCCTTTAGGAAAGTTCTAGTGGTCTCGACATGAGTACGTGACGTCTATATATAGAAACTCGAGTTGTTTACCGTAAATTCTGGAAAATTCTATGGTGTAATGTTACTTAAAATAGTCGTGTTGTAAATCTGTAGAATCTTCTAGAAAGATTGTAAGGAACTATATAAGAAGGTGCAGTAGATTGTTGCGTTTAGACGAAAAAGACGAAAAAGAGGAAAAAAAAGAAGAAGAAGAGAAAAGGATAAAGGAAATGAAGGAGTTAGTGGAAACAATTCATTTTAAGGTTTACCACGAAACCAGATTGGTAGCAGAGCGAGGCTCCAAGAAGAAGACGAGCAAAAACTCAAGTCGCATCGATGGGTAAAAAAAGGAGCAAGAGAAAGGGAGCATTCTACAGCGAGGACGAAGATGGAAACGAGAGCCCTCAAGTCGGAGGAAGGTCTAACGAAGAAAATAACGCTGTAGAGAAGCAAAAGCAATCGAAGTCAAGGAGCAAAGCGGCTTTCACGAGAGTAAGACATGGACTTCTACAATTACTGGAAGAAGACTTACCCAGTCGCACTCAAATAAGGGAGGCACGAGAAAAGCTGGACAAGCAACTAGACAAAGTAATGGGGGATTTAGAGGCCTTGTCCACAGCGTGCGAGAAAAGACAAGATACCGCAAATGTAAGAAAGTTAAGTCAAGAAGTAGAGAGAATCGCAGAAGAGTTCACGGACACTCAGAATAGGACACAAGAGTACCTGGACTCCAGAAAAGACGAACTATCAAGTATCGCGTCGGATACTTCACAAAAGGTTAGACAGTCTCAAGAGGAAATGGTCAAAGTAAAGAAGAAAGCGGAGCAAATGGAAGCAAGCATATTGAAAGAAGAAGAAGCTATACAGTCAGAAAAGAGAAAAGTAGAAGAAGAATACGCTAAGAAATTGAGAAAACTTGAAGCTCGATCACTGCAAAAAAGAGACCAACTCGTCAACGTTAAAGAAGAAGTTAAAAGAATACAAGTCAAGATGGAAAAAGAGATCGACAAGGAGCTTGGGGTAGAAGAGGACTATGTCGGCGGGGTGGAATACAGTGATTTTGAGGAAGGCGAACAAAAGCCAAGGATGAAGATAGAGAATCAAGGCGGGTTAAAGATCAAAGGTCAAGAAAAGGCGGAGACCGCGAGGGGAAAAGTGTCGCAAGCGATGGAAATTGGTCAAGACCTTTGGAAACAGCTAAAAGGAGTATCCATCCCTCTGTTTAACGGAGACAAAACCAACTACGAGAGTTGGAAAGCAGCCTTCGAGGCATGCATTGACAAGGCAGAATACAAGCTCCTCCAGCTTAGGCAATATTTGTCAGGAGAAGCGCTCAAGGCAATAGAAAACCTGGGTCATTCAGCGTCCGCTTACGAAGCAGCAAAGAGCAGGCTGGAGGGGAAATACGGCGGGAGAAGAAGGCAGATTGCGCTGCATCTTGAAGAACTTGATAACTTTAAACCAGTAAGGCCGGGACACCCAAAAGATATCGAGAGATTTGCAGACATTCTGGATATCGCAGTCGTCAACCTGAAGGAAGTAAGGCGATACGAGGAATTGGGTAACGGGTCACTATACGCTAAGCTGCAGAAGAAAATGACGGAGCAGATGTTGGCACAGTACCATAGATGGGTGTTTGAAAGAAACAAAACAGAATGCGTAGAAACTTTATGAGAGTGGGTGATACAAGAGGCGGAGTTCCAGACCATAGCATCCGAAACGCTACGTGGAATATCAAGAAGCTCATCTGGTACGCAGCGGAAAGATCAGACATACTTTGGCCAGCCAAGATTCCAAAGCAGCCCTAAGGGTCAACAAAGAGACAGAAATCGAGCATGCAAAGTCTGCGGAGAAAGGCATCCAGTTTGGCTATGTAATAAATTTAAGGAGATGGCCGTACCTGAAAGATGGAAAACGGCGAAGCAACACAGTTTATGTTACAGATGTTTAGGAGCCAACCATGTCGGTTAGTCATGTACAAGGTCAAGAATCTGTGGCCTGAATGGATGTGTAGATACACATAACAGATTGTTGCATGAAGCTAAAAGGAGAGAGTCGGATAAGGGGAACAGTACCAGTGGTCAAAAGTCCAATGACAGCCAAGAAGCAAAGCAAGGTGCACAAGGACCAACCACAGAGGGGAGGCAGCAGAGATCCGAGAGATCATACATGACCACGGTACATGCGAAAGAAAGCGTCGAGGAGGAATGCATTGCGTTGAGAGCAGTACCCGTGATACTAAAGAATGGAGGGCGGAAGCTAGTCGTAAATGCACCGCTGGACGACGCCAGTACCAAGACGTACGTAAATAGCGATGTCGCTGCTGAGTTGGGACTACAGGGCGAGAGTCGTAAAGTGACGGTCAACGTTCTTAATGGCCAGGAAGATACGTTCGAGACGCCAGTCGAGTGTGGGATAGAGAGCTTAGATGGTAGAATAAGCATTAGGATTACTGCGTTTACAGCAAAGAGAGTCACAGGCAACATGAAAACGGTTAATTGGGCCAGATACGCCAAGAACTGGACCCACCTTAAGGATGTAAACTTCCCTTATCTGGGGCCACGTCCGATTGTTGATATCCTGATCGATATTGATTATGCAGACCTACACTATTCCATCAAAGATGTAAGAGGTAGACTAGGCGAGTTAGTGGCAAGACTGACACCTTTAGGGTGGACATGTATCGGGCACCCCAGTCTGTGTCTGGAACTGAATTACCGGACAAACTTCATACGTACTTACTCCGTGTACGAGGACTCAATTGTTGAGTTGGGCAACGCTATTCGAAAGTTCTGGGAGATAGAAGACGACGGATTACAGGCGAAGATCAAGACACTAAAGCCAGAAGACAAAGTCGCACTTGAAGCACTTAAGAAGTCAATAAAGTGTGAGGATGGACGATACGAGGTTGGAGTACCCTGGAAGGAAGAAAAGCCGTTCATGCCAGACAACTACGAAACAGCGCTAAGGCGGTTGCAGAACACAGAGAAACATTTTTGCAGATATCCAGAAATCGGGAAGTGCTATTCAGACGTAATTAATCAGTACCAAGCCAAGGGGTGTATAAGAAAGGTTCCAGAGATGGATAAAAAACCCAGCGAATCATGGTATTTGCCCCACTTCGCTGTCATAAGGCCAGATAAAGAAACAACAAAGACGAGAATCGTGTTTGATGCGTCCGCTAAGAGCGACGGGATTTCTCTGAACGACGTCATACACCAAGGACCCAATTTGCAACGTGAACTTTTCAGTGTTTTACTACGATTTCGCAAGAACCCCGTAGCATTGGTGTGTGACATCGCTGAAATGCACCTACGAATAAGTCTAGGACCAGAAGACAGACCCTTTCATAGATTCTTTTGGAGATCGTTGGATCAGACCAGGACGCCGGACGTGTATGAGTTTAATAGAGTAGTTTTTGGAGTGAATTCGTCACCATTCTAAGCTCAGTTTGTCACTCAAGAGCATGCGCAGAAGCATAAAGAAGAATTTTAAATGGCAGCAGAAACGATTCTAAAGTCAACATACATGGACGATGGCATGGACTCTACTTCAGATGATCGAAAAGGAATAGAGCTATACAAGCAGTTATCGGAGCTCTGGGGAAGAGCCGGAATGCACGCGAGAAAATGGCTATCAAATTCACCGAAGGTGCTGGAGGAAATACCAGTCGACGACAGGCCTCTGAAGCAGACTTAGACCAGGGCCATCTACCATCGGTAAAGACGCTTGGGATACTTTGGGTTGCTGAGGAAGACATGTTTACCTACACGGCACACCCACCGGGGAAGGAATTCCAACTTACAAAGCGTAGTTTTCTCAAGAGTATCGCAACACTCTTTGATCCTTTAGGTTTTCTGGCACCATACATTGTTCGCGCCAAAATCATTCTCCAAGAAATGTGGACCACTGGGATAGACTGGGATGAACCAATGAAAGAGGATCAAGCAGAGAAGGCAAGACAATGGTTCCAAGAGCTCAATTCTCTACAGTGCGTACAAGTTCCCCGATGTCTACAACATAACTTTGGTGAACAGATTTCAACAGGTTTACATTTTTTTGCTGATGCTTCAACGGCGGCGTATGGAGCAGTGGTGTACGTAAGAAGCGAGTACCAAAGCGGGATGGTTCGA